CATGCCCAGCTAATTTTTTTGATTTATTGTACAGATGAGGTCTCGCCAAGTTGCCCAGGCGGGTCTCGAACCTGCGGGCTCAGGCAATCAACTCACTTTGGCCTCAAAAAGCGCTGGGATTATAGGCTGAGTCATCAAGCCCGACCCGCAGCACGTATTTTTAAAAAAACAGGCCACACTGCAGGATTTGTCAGAGGAACTGAGGGAGTTGCACATGGCTTCTGAGTGTCCACCCCATGACAACAGCATCATCGGCCCCATGTGTTTATTTTTCTTTTCTTTTTTTGAGTCAGAGTCTCACTCTGTCGCCCAGGCTAGAGTACAGTGGCACACTCATGGCCACTGCAGCCTCGACCTGCTGGGCTCAGGTAATACTTCCACCTCAGCCTTCCAAGTAGCTGGAACTACAGGCATGTGCCATCACGCCCGGCTAATTTTTTGATTTTTATTGTAGAGATGAGGTCTTGCCAAATTGCCCAGGTGTGGACTCAGGCTATCCTCTCACCTTGGCCACCCAAAGTGTTGGGATTATAGGTGAGTCACCGCGCCTGGCCCACATGTTTATTTTTGTTTTTTTCCAGAGACAGTCTCAGTCTGTCACCCAGGTTGGAGTGCACTGGCACAATGGTAGTTCACTACAGCCTCCAACTCCTGGGCTCAAGTGATACTCCTGCCTCAGCCTCTCAAAATGCTGGGATTACAGGCATGAGCCACTGTGCCCAGGCTTAAATGCTAACTATCTCAATCACTCAACAGGCCACCTATCACCACTGAACACTGAATGACGATCCTGCAACAGAATCTCTGTTCTAATTCTCTCCATTTTTAGGATTCATTTGGGAAGTGTGGGTGAGGAGTGAATAACTGCCTTTCCCAAAGCTCTTATATATCTCTGGAAAAGGAGCTCTGTACTAAAAGGAAAAAAAATGTCAGGCACAGTGGCTCATGCCTATAATCCTAGCATTGTGGGAGACCAAGGCAGGACTTCTTAAGACCAGGGGTACAAGACCAGCCTAGGCAACAAAGCAAGACCTCATCTCTACAAAAAAACACTTTTTAAAAAATGAGTTGGACCTGTAGTCCCAGTGACTCAAGAGGCTGAAGCAAAAGGACTGTCTGAATTCAGAACGGGGAGGCTGTAGTGAGCCATGATTGTGCCACTGCACTCCAGCCTGGGCAAGAGTGAGACTCTAACTCAAAAAAAAAAAAAAAAAAAAAAAAGGCCAGCGTAGTGGCATGCCTGTAATCTTAGCACTTTGGGAGGTGGAGGCCAGAAGACTGCCTAAGCCCACAGTTTGAGACCAGCCTAGGCAACTCGGCAAGACCTCGTCGCTACAATAAATAAAAAAATTAGCTGGGTGTGGTGGAATGTGTCTATGGTTCCAGCAACTTGGAAGGCGGAGGCAGAAGGATCACCTGAGCCCAGCAGGCCAAGGCTGTGGTGGCCGTGAGCATTGCTGCTACACTCCGGCCTGGGTGACAGAGAGAGACTCCAACTAAAAAAGAAAAAAAAAAAAATCCCAATTTTTACATGTGGAGTAGACAGGAATACTACCTATCAAATCCAAGTGCTTAAAGTTTTCTGATAACCAGTGAAAAGCACATTTAAAATGCTAGCAGTACATTTGTTGAGACCTAAACCAATATGTACATTTTAAAAAATAACATTTTTGGGGGGAGGGAGATGGGATTAACAGTAGCAAATATCTGTCTGGGAACGGGGAAACACCCCATATCAACAGGGTGCCTGAATGAAACGCAATTGTATACCTAACCCTTAACTGTACCCCACAACTTCATAATAAAAAATAAAAAAATAAAATAAAATAAAATAAAAAACTTTAATGCATAAAAAAATAAAAAATAAAAATTAACATTTTTGATGATTGTATGGCTTTGTTAGGGCAAAATACTAAAAATGAGAACTCTATCTTTACTTTTTCCCTGACTTGAAGACATGATTGAGGAACATATTTCCCAACTTCCTTAGGGCCTGGCATGTTGCAACTTCTCTTCATTGTCAACTCCAGTTCTCAAATAAGCACCTAAAAAGCCAGCTTCAACCCAAGAAGGAAGCAAGAGTAAACTCACACCAAACCAGCATTTTTCTGAAGCTGCTTCCTCAGCCACACAAACTCACGGTAGCGGCGCCGTACACAGGAGGTCTTAGCAGTAAAGGCCTTGCTGTTAGTCTGCAGGAAAGTACATGAAAACCGTTTAGTGGAAAAGACCAAGTTTACCTGAGCTCCCTATTCTCGCTCTCCCTGAGGAGCCATGCCATCAGGCTGCCGTCCGGAGCAGGGCCCCCAACTAGAGCACGCTCCCCCGAGGCAGTCTGAAAGTAACTCGCAGGCATACCTCAAGCTCTCCTTCCTCGCCTCCCTCCTTTCCTCCTAAGTCTTCTGTTTCAGATCCCTCAGAAACACCCCAAACACAAGCCCTCAGCCCTGGAGCGTATCTGCGCCATTACAAAAACTTGATGCACTCACATGAAGGAATATCTTATAATCCACATAAGAGTTCCAGGAGCCCTCATTCTGCACTCGGGGGTCCTGGACACGCACTGTGATCACCTCCTGCAGATAAGAAATGCCGCTTCAGCTCAGCCACGCAGCAAGGCAGCTTTGACAACACAGGTTGCCGGATTCTTCCACTCAGAACCGATTTTTATTCATTTAATACAACAAATATTTACCGAGCCCCCAGTATGTGTCAGGCACTGCTCAAGGCATTGGGGATAAAGCATGAACAAGAGACAAGAAGCCCTGCCTCTGTGAAGGTTACATTCCAGTATATTCCAACCAATGGAAAAGTTCATCAGAAAGAGACCTCATTTCCCAGCAAGGCCTCTGCTCTTGATATCCTTCTCCTGACTTTATTATCATTATTATAATTTTTTTTAGTCGAAGTCTCACTCTGTCGCCCAGGCTGAAGTGCAGTGGCACACTCACGGCCACCGCAGCAGCCTCGACCTACTGGGCTCCAGAGATCCTTCCGCCACAGCCTTCCAAGTAGCTGGAACTACAGGCATGCACCACAATGCCCAGCTAATTTTTTTTATTTTATTGTAGAGACAAGGTCTTGCCATGTTGTCCAGGCTGGTCTCAAACCCGTGGGGTCAGTCAATCCTCTCATCTCCGCCTCCCAAAGTGCTGGGATTACAGGCATGAGCCACCACGCCTGGCTTCCTGACTTTAATTGAGCTCATCAGAACCGCCAAGGTATTACTGCAGGAAGAAGACTACTGAGCAGCAATTTGCATCTGTGTCCTCCCTCCTCCTAAACCCCCCTCCAACTTTTACCCACCTGTTCCCTGGAGAACACTCTTACCTCCTGTTCTTGATTCTCCAACATCCTACACCAAAAGCCCATTGGAAGAAGACATCTGGTGAGGGACAGAAGACACAGGAACAATCAGGGTTAGTATGTCCCTATTCTCATTACTCTTTACTAGGGTAAAACCCTTAAAGTATTTAATAGAACCCCCCCGGGGAAACCCATACAACTTTCTTTGTTCTTGTGTAAAACTTAAGGGGAAGTGGAAAATATCTCCCACATTAGCCCGTGGTCAAGCTAAAAGCCCTAGGGGATTTGCCTCTTCTCAGACCACTGCCAGGACCCTCAACCAAGCCACCGCTATCTACCCCAAGGTGTGTCAGGGAGTCTACAGAGTTCGTTTCAGGCAGCCAGAACAGGCAGGTTGGGTTGTAAAACTTTTGAAGACTGCAGGCGCAGCAGTGTCTGTGGAGCACTCAGACCACAGCTTTGAAGGCGAGCCCAACAGCGCCCCCTCCCGGCTGCTTAGAGACAACCAAGACCCCACAAACACCCAAGCTCTTGCATCTCTGACTTGCTCACAACCAGTCACCTCCCCACAGGTGAATCATGGAGCTGGAGCACTCCAGGGAGCATCTGAGTGGGTTGCCCAGTTGGGACTTTCCCTTAACCAATCCATTCTCCAGAACCCCAGTCGACAGTTCTAATCATTTCCTCTCTTGACATGCCATCCGGTGTGTACTCTGCCCAAGCACCCCACAGCTGCACAGGTCGACTCAGGATGCGTTCCGCTCCTTTGTAAAGATTCATTAAAGCCTCAGCTCCTGATTTCCCCCAATGTGGCAGTTTACATGTATAGCGACATCGCCCACTCCGACAAGGGGACCATGAAGGCTGCAGCACAGGGTTACTGAAGTCCAAAGGGGCCCATGATGCCATCTTCTGTTAAAATACAGCACTAATCTTGTTACTTCTAGAACTACTCCAGCAGCAGCCACCCTGGCTGCTGCCTCCACCCCCTTCTCCTCTCTTAAGAGCGGAACAATAAGGTTTAATTTCCCTTTCCAATTTACCTTGAAATGAAAACTGACTTCAGCCAATATGTACTGCCAACAAATGATCCGGGCTGGCTCCTGGGAATACGAGACTATCTATAAGCTCTCCCTCTCCTCCCCCCGTGCCCATTCACATATCCACTCATTTTTACAGTCCCACAATTAATTTTAAACACATTCTTATTAGTTCTGCCTTACCATTAGAAGAGTGTGTAATGAGTTTCCTTCTATTTTATGTTTTGCTAACACAAGACTAAGGTTTCAAAAGAAGAGAAACTCATTTACACCATGAAATTAGCAGAGCAAACAGCTTTTCCAATTCTTTCCAATACTGTATAGCAGAAGGTCTCTCCACAGACAGACATTGCATGCAGAGACAAAGCTGCATGGTTTGCAACAAAATCGGGCTACACTGTTGAGCAAACCCAAGGTTTTGTGATTTCAATACCATCTTAAGCAATATTCTTGCTGACAATCTGATTTTTCATTTGATGCGGTTACTACCTCCAAGGGTCCTGAACTGAAGGGTAGGAAATTCCAATTCCCTAACAGTTTATGTATAACATTCCAGATGTAAGCAGTCAAATGGCTGTGACCAAAAAGAGCAGACCGACTTGCTGTGAAAAATTAACCTCAATTCAATTTTTTTTTCTCTCCTTTCAAACATTTGGTAAATTGCCAACACAGGGATAGGGAGTAAAATATTCTGAAGTGTCTTTAAACAAAAGTAACAATAAGAAAGATGATGTCAAGGAAATCACAGCCATCCACACCTTCAGTGGAGTTCACACATCTCCTGTGCCTTGAAACTTCTGTCAAATTCAGGACCATAACTTGGCAACTAAATGATCATTATACTCTTGGTCTCAAGAAGAGCTTGTGTAGGGCCCTGCAGCACTTCCATGAGGAAGTTCTTCTTTCCTTTGGGGTCAGTCAATACCACTTAGAAACAAGTACCTTTAAACTAACTTTTAAAAGCCCCAGACCGGCCGGACTCGGTGGCTCAGGCCAGGCTCGGTGGCTCAGCCTGTAATCCCAGCACTTTGGGAGGCCGAAGGCGAGTGGATTGCCTGAGCCCGCGGGTTCGAGACCCGCCTGGGCAACTTGGCAAGAATGTCTCTACAATAAATCAAAAACTAGCCGGGCGTGGTACCGCACGCCTGTAGTTCCAGCTACTCGGAAGACTGAGGCGGAAGGATCGCCGGAGCCCAGCAGGTCAAGGCTGCGGTGGCTGGGAGCGGCCACTGCATTCCAGTCTGGGCGACAGAGTGAGACTCCAACTCACAAAACAAACAAATAAACAAAAAAACCCCAGACCTGGCTGGGCACTGTGGCTAAGCCTATAAACCCAGCACTTTGGGAGGCCGAGGTGAGAGGATTGCCTGTGCCTAGAGGTTCGAGATCAGCCTAGGCAACTTAGTGAGACCCCATCTCTACAATAAATTAAAAAATTAGCCAGCCAGACATGGAGGTACGTGCCTGTAGTTTCAGCTACTTGGAAGGCTGAGGCTGAAGCATCACCTGAGCCCAGCAGGTCCAGGTTGCTGTGGCCATGAGCGTGCCACTGCACTACCGCCTGGGTGACAGAGTGAGACTCTGACTCATAAAAAAACAAAACAAAACGCAGATCTGCAAGATACTTAAATCTAGGTTTAAAAGGCACCGAGAAAGTTTCAGTTGTAATTTTCCTTAAGAACAGCGCAAAGCCAGGCTTGGTGGCTCAGCCTGTAATCCCAGCGCTTTGGGGGGCTGAGGTGAGTGGACTGCCTGAGCCCGTGGGTTTGAGACCCACCTGGGCAACTTGGCGAGACCTCATCTCTACATAAAATAAAAAAATTAGCCGG